TGTCTCCTGCGCTGAAGATGTTGGGTCGATTTCAGAGGCCATTCACCAATCTCCATGATGTATGCACGGCAGCACTTGTTTAAAACTCAGACTATAAATAATGCTGATCTTGTTGATATTCACTTGGCATTCATTAATATGATTTGGAGTCAGTGAGGTGCTTTGTGGCTGGGTCATGAAAACAGTTGTTATAATCAAGGTCGCTGGCATAACCGCAAGAGCCAGCTGTTAAAACTCTTTCTAAAAGGTGGTGGTCCCCACCACCTCAGTCTGCTGTGACTGAGCTCAGGCTGGCCACCAGTCCTTAAAGGACGCAGCTCATGTAGTCACGTGCAGAAGGGCAGTTGCAAGATGTTAAGTGTTTTTTTTTGAGGGCACCTTTACAAAAAAATGAGACCTGGGGTAACCCCCAAAGTAGCCTGTAAAGATAGTCCACATAGAAGAATAGACAAGGATGGACAAAAATGAAAAAGCAGAAGCAGAAAGTTAAACACTCAGAGCTATGAAACACAGTCCTCAGAAATCGGCATTGTACCCTGACTTCCGATTATCTCTTTTGGATGAAAGCTCAAGTAACTGATTACAGAACAAGCATTAGAAAATAAGCAGAAGAGAGGCAGTACTCTTGACTGGCAATTCAACAAGTACGGAACATAGCTCTTCAGATGCCATACTGGGAGTATTTCTCAATGCTACCACTAATGGTATAAAAGAAATAATTAAGACAGTTGCATGGGAGGGAAGAGGAGTTAAGGAATATCCTCTTATTATCCATATTAGAACAAACCAGGTGCAAACTACAAGCCTAAGACTCCAAGGTTAGTTTACAGATCCAGAAAGAACTTAAGGTGAGTGCAACACAGATGAACCACTTGGGGGAAAAAAAAATCCAATGCATCAAGAAATAACAAGGAAAAAAATAACTGAGGCTCCTAAGGAGGCAAATGCTGCCTGTGGCACCACAGAAGTCAATTAGAGAGTTTTCAGCTACAGTGATGGACCAACCTCCTGAGGTATAAGAAAATAATAATAAATTAAAAATCTCATGGGGCATGGGGCAATAACAGAGATACTGTTTTTGTTCATCCTCACTTTCTGGTACCTCTGTCCATGTTGAAAAAATAAAAAATAGAACATGTTATAAGAAAAAGTATTTTACAATGTTTTTCAAGAGACAAAAGCAGCATACGAAATGTCTCCCACTGAGAAATATGATAAAGTCATTAAAACTTCTTCTGCCATCACATCAGACAAATAGCAAAAACGCAGTAACAGAGTACTGAAGAATGAGTTTCACCCAAAGAAAAGCTGAACAGCGGGAGCTTTTCTGGATTTATTTTAGTCGAGTGTACACATCCATGTCACACCATCACTTCTTACTTAAAAACAGCTGCAGAAGGCTCCTGCTGCGGCTGTTGCCGTTAGCTGAAGCTCTGATCTTCCTGTCTTGATAAAAGTCATCAAGGCACATTTCCTGCTGGAAGTAAAGTGGCAGCCCCTAGGGACTCTGCAGCTGCCCAATTTATATCAGAGAGAATCTGAAGCAAGCACCAGTACTTTTTTCAAACAGCTTAATTTTTATTTATTTATTTTTTCTATATACCCCAAATCCTATTAAGAGTTTTCCCCCTCGTCACTCCCTACTTTCCAGGCAGTTGCATTTTGATACAATTAAAAGAGAACATAGACATTTCAAGGCCTATGCACAAAACCTAGGGGCAGGAAAAGTGTATGGGTAAACTCAGTGGCATCAAACCAAACCATGCCTTATAGCATAAAACTGAACTGAGAGATGAAACAAAAAGCTTCAAAGATACTAGTTATTGCATCATTAGTAGTTTAGAGATGGTATATGGATGCTATGAAAGGTATCTATAAAACAACACAAGCTGTATTTTTTATTTTCTGTATATTCACAGAAGTATTTCAGGTGAAACTGGAGAGCAACAAGGAAACTGTCCTGGTCAAGTGCTCTCAAAGCACCTGGTGCCAGGCAAGGGCAGCAACGAGATCATTGCTAAAGGTGCTAGAAGCCAGAAACACAAGCTACCATCTTTTTTGTTTTGTACTTCTGCAGCGCTCAACATGGCAAGGACCAGGTCGATGAAGACTGCTCCTAACAGCTATGAAAGGTTATGATAAATAAAAGTTTGAGAAGATCATGTGGCATCCCATTAAGTAGCCTGACACCCATAACTCAAAGAAAGTCTTAAGTTACCAGACATTCAACACTCCTTAACCATCAAACCGGGTAAAAACCAGTTTCTTTCTTGTATGTAATTCTTTAAAAAAAAAAAGCCTGTTATAAAGAATATCAAAACCAAGACAAAGTTGCTTTACTTCAAAACTAAGAATCACAGAACCCTACAAAAGTATTCATCTATTTTTTACAAAGAATAAAAAGCAAATCAAACTACAGCATGTTAAATTGTGCATAAGAACGGCTCTCAGCTAGGTTTCACTTCCAAAATTACTTGAGAGCACATTATAATTAGCAAAGGTATGTGACAGTTTTATACCCCTCTATGATGCATGATTAAAGCCAGGCAGCCCAGCTCTGCCGCAAGTTCTGCACGCCGTCAAAACAGATGTGACAAGAACTACAAGCTGCTCTCAGGCAGACCGCGAGAAAGCATAAGCAGATAACATTTTGGCTATCAAAGAGGTAAGACATGATGCAAAACTAATTAAAACCCAAAATCCCTTGGAGAGGTAGGTAAACTATGTTTTATATGAAGCATCTCATTCTTGCACTGCAGTGCTCCTGCCCAAGAACAAGGATGAGAACCAGCTCATACATTCATTTTGGATAAATATTCCTTGGCTGGTTTGTAAGCTCAAAAGAAACAGTGGGGTAAGTTTGTTTTGGAGAAGTGTATCCAAGTCATCATTTTTATTCTTCTTTATCTAGAGATTTCCATGTTTAGACTATGTCTTAATGCTTCTCCCTTTGTGATACCCCTCTGCATACAGCACCTCTCCCTCTATTTTCAGGTAGCCTCCCCTATTGCTTCCTCTGTGGTGCTTCAGAGCCCACCTCCCCAACATCCCAGTGGCCCCAGGCAGTTTTTCTGGTATATTCCTTCAGCCATTTTCACCGTGCTGCTCCTGCTGTGCTCTTTTCCCCATCTCTTCTGCAGAAATTACTTTTCTCCTTATTCCCCGGCCCATAATATAGTCCCCTTCTACAGGAGGTGCTGTAGAAAGGATGCAGCTGGTTTCTCCTTCAGGCACCTCATGCTTTCCCTAACACAACCATTTGGATGCGGTGCAAGTTCTCACAACTTCACCCTGTGACTTTGCACTCCTCCATTTCCTATGGCATTTCTCCTACATGGATAAACACACAGCAGCAGCTACATAGATAACTACCTACGCCACATATGTACCTTGAGACTAGGTGGCGCAAACCCACAGTTGGGTTACCAGCTCTTCCTTCTGCCATGACATTACTTCCTTGCAGCTTTTGCATCTCAGAGTTAACTAAAGCTGTATTCACACAGGAACAAACTGGGATCTACAGGCAATACTGAATTGTTAAGCTGCCAGGTGAGTTGTGTAGCTGTACCTGAGTGTACACACACGTGTATATGTGTAACCTTCCCTAGAAAGACAGACAACTTGCTAATGCCCAACGACTCACCCATGATTCATCCCTGACTTTTGCTAGTTAAAGCAGCAGAGAAAGGGGAGGCAATTAAACAGTGAAGTTGCTAAGTGGACACACTTAGATCTGGAGAATTTAGGAAAACCTCACAATGTGGAATTTATGACATTTATCACAGACAAGTCTTACACTGCTCCTACAAAGGTGAGCTGGTTAAGGTGCACTTAAGCCACTACTTTCTGGTATGAAGAAATAAACTTGCTGTGTGTTTATAAGCAAGATCATATCGCTCTGTGGCTATTCTGATGAAGGAGGTACACATGACTGCAGTTTCTTTACAATCAAGCTTCTCAACACTTCAGTTTCATTTGGAGACAGTAAATGCAGTGCAGCTGCCTGGTTCAGGTTCTGATACCCACTTATGCTGAATGTCAACCCAGCAATGCAAGAGAATTTACTCACATGGCAAATATATATATTAAAAAATATACTATGTACATTTTGTTGAACATAATCAGTTAGTTAGAAATAGAGCTCTCAATGCAAGCACCTATGGTTATGCCTATGCACCAGCCTAAGACTGCACAACAGGGGAATCTTAGGGAGCAGGATTGCTTAACACCCCTTCTGAGCAGCTACAAGTGTTACCAAGCCATCTTTGTCTCCACAATTATGCTTTACTATTAACATGACTCACAGAAGAACAAATAAAACACACTGCAACAAGCCTTCATTATCACTGGGAGCACATTTCAATGCGTGAGCAGTGATCCTCCAAAAAATTATGTTCTACAGATGTATCCTTTTGGGACACTACTTTGGTGGACACTAAGCAAGCACCTCTGGATGTCAAAACATTAAGAAAATGCTTCAGATCACTTCCCAACATCCTGCAACTGAACAGAGACCAATGCTCTGCTTATTTCCAAGAAAATAATTGCAATTGTCCTTCTATAAAGCAATAAGAACTTCCATGCAAGTGAGGTGGCTGCAGAGCAGTAAGTTTTATCCTATGCAATACATCTAAAATCTTGAAATTGCATGTGATGATTTGAAGACTTACTGTGATATTACTAATTTGACCAGAGTGCAGAGCACTAAACAGCAGATGTGAATGTTCACTGTGTATGCTAGTGCTACAGCAGAGCATCAAACACATTTGCATGGGATCTGAACAAAGAAATGTACTTAACAACAGGTCTGTAAAATGAAAAACCTGCAACTCAACCCAAGAAGGGCTGGAATTCCCTTCCACTTGGTGAAGCATCTGGCCTGATCACTGGTGGCTGCTGATCACTGCCATGTCATCACTCTAAAGCCGTGAAACATCCCTGCGACCGCATTAATTATCTCCCCTTGCAAAGCGCTTAAGCCATAGAGTGAGGTTACTCACGTGATGTCTCTGCGCTGATAGCAACCTTGAAGAAGGCAGGCGATCAGGTCACTGATAAACTCCACATCATCCCTGTGAAGAGCAGCTTCCAGTTCCTAATGAGCAGAAAGGAGAGAAATAAAATTCCAACCATCAAACTAATTCCTTAAAATTTAAAGGCTAGCTGATCAGGACCAAAAAAGACCCAAGTGGCCTCAAGTACATGTACAGCAGCAGAGCATATACTGGGTAAGCCAACCTTCCCCATCATTAAAAACACTGCTACTACTACCTCTTCATTGCAAGAGTTTATGGGAAGACTTTGAAAGGCTTTTACCAAATGTCACTCTTCAGCCAGAAGACTAATGCTTTTGTCTGCAAACAGAAATATAGGGTTCAGTGAGGCTGAGATACTTCAGCTTAATAAGAAACCTATGCTTTCTCCCATGTTCAGCTGATGGGCAAGAATCAACAATTTCATTCTCCTGCTTTGCTTTCCACTCACTAAGGCTGTGAGTTCATTTAAAAGATGTGCTCAGAAAGCATGGCCCTAAAAGCCACTTACACAGAGAAGTAGCAGTTTCAGATGGATAGCCAGAAATGGCTGAGAGCTAGCAAGCAAATGCCCCAAAGAAAAGCAGGCATTTTGATTATTTAACTTTTATGTTTTCTTCCCAATAACAGAAAGGACGGAGGGATGTCAGACCTCATGACCCAAAACCTCAGCCCTTGATGGCAGGATGGAGAGTATCATGGCTTATTTCAGCACGATGGAGTTCACGTAAACATGTGATGCAGGAACTGATTCACAAAAAGGATAAACTTCTGAAATGAAGTTATTACGAATTTCACACGTTGTGAGAAATACCTGTTTTTCAGCTAGCAATTTCAGGCTTTGTTTTTAAAATATTACTAGGTTAACTACAGTTTTATTTATATGCCAGAAAATAATTCACAGTAAGAAAAATCCACTTCCTAGAAGACTTATAATCAGTAGTATACAGTATTTAACAAGGTTTAATATGGATAAACAACATAGGCATAAGAAGCTATTCTTTTTGGGTTTCAGACTAAATAACGGATTGAATACAAATTCCTACTTGAATGTTACTCAACAGACTGTTACACAAATGGCTAAGCTAATGGCTACAGAATAAAGGTTAATGGCCAGAGAATAAAGGATAAACGTTTTGGCACTTACCCAATAAAGAAGAGAAAGTGCTTTTTTATTAGACTGCAGTAACTGCAGTAATAAAATTATTGATAACAGATTGCAGATTAAATGCCGCTTGTAGTTTTTTATTGGAAATGTATTAATGGCATATTTTCATTATCAACACTGCTCTTATTTACCTCTTGTGCAACATCCAAAGTGCTTCACGAGCGGAAGCCTGACACCTGCCCTGTGAAGAATGTATTTAATGCATCTATTATATGCGGAAACTCGAAGCAAGGAAAGGGCGGCGGGCAGCCAAAGCTTGACACAGTGTCCCTGCCGCAGAGCTAGGAAAAGTCCCAAGAATCTCTGCTCTGGCCTCTAGATGACTACCCTGCTTAATGACAAGTTAATAAGAAAACTGCAGTTGCCACTTGCCATCCCTTGGAGAGAGTGATATTATTCTTGTATAAATAGCAATTATGCTATATAAACAGCAATTACTCAGTGAATTCATTTGGTAAGCGGCTAGTATTTTGGAGGTGCTGACTTATTTTATTGGTAAATTACTTGAGGGGACATCTGCCCTATAACAAGACACACCTGAGAAGGAAAAGAAAAAGTACATGATGTGCTAAAACACCCAGGTATGTTACCATAGGAAACTTGCAGGTTGTGAAAAATGGTATGTTAGGACCTAGAAGAGTGGGACGGGGAGGGTAATTGTCCAGTTCAGGCTAACCTCCCCACCTTCAGCCTCTCCCTTTCCTTCATCCACATACACTCATGCCCTCAAGCTGTCAATCAGCAGCCCTCTCTGTCAGGATGGGACAACCTTTTGTAGGAAGGAATATTTAAATTGCTTCCCATGAGCCTTTTCAGCCTGCTATTTGACTAACACTCCTCAAGCTGTGGCCACAACTGAGATAGCCCCTATCTCCAGCCATTGTTTTCCAGGCCCGGGAGTGACCTTTACATTTTTGGAGCCAGCAGGTCACCCCAGGAGCTAAGGTACATTCCTTGGGCACTGGGTAAGGTGCTGTCTCCTGGGCAGGGACCTGCTAATCTTCCCCAGAACACCTGGTCCAGGAGTTTCTCCTCTCTCCCAGACGGGTGGTCCTCATCCCTACCTTCATGGCAGGTGTAGAGCAAATTTGGGAGCCCAAATCAGCTGCAGATGAATTTCGCAGCCATTTACTATGGGTACTGAGCATAAGACCCACACGTGGCTGGGTGCAGAGTCCCAGTACCACATCGAGTTGAGTGGCTCTGGCACAAGTCAGGATTAACGAGTGCACACATAGCACGGGGCTAACGAAGGTCCATCATTAGCAGGCATGAGGCTGCCAGTGCCTCTGTAGAAAAGTGTTTGCACCATGCTTCTTCATGCCTATAGCCCAATCTGATCCTCTTGTCCCTACCGACAGCCACACCTGGTACCAGCAGGTTATAGTAAAGGCACAGTCCAAGTATTACCATGATTATCTGTCTTGGAAAAAGATACTGACATTGTCCTGTGAAGTTTTAGTCTACTTTTTTCCTGTCAGTACTTGTGATATGGCAAGAATAGCAAGAGGTGCTTTAATTTCCCAGTGCTGGGTCCATTGGCTTTGGACATGCTATCCTGCTGGATTCTCCAGCCTTCTGCCCCAAAACACCTAAATCTTGGACTTCTCCCACACGCCCAAGGTGCTGTGGGAACACCAGGGACCAGGAGGATGCAATGCAAATCATAACATCTCAGGACCAAGAATGAAGAGTTAGGATCCCCTCGGGTTTTCACCTTCACTTCAGCTCACATTTTGCAAGAAAAAGAATAAACCTCATTTTTCCGGTCCTCTGGTCCAACAAGGGATGACCAGAAAAGCAGCAGGGTGCTCAAGCAGCACACCAAAGCAGGGGTGGCCAAAGCGACCTGGGAGACTCTCAGGAGAAAGAGGCCACCCAAACCCCCCTGGTCCTCAGGGCAAACTCTGCCCCAAGCGCCTGTCTCCATGCTCCTCTGGTCTGGTCAGGGTGAGTGGCTGGGCTTCCTCCCTGCCACCATCCCCCCCACGCCTCCAACCCTTTTGTTTTCCCCCCTTTTCTCTTTGAGCACTGAGCTGTGAGCACAGAAATCTGAACCTTGCCAAAACGCTTTGGGGACGGCACAGAAAGGAAACAGAAAAGGCAGCAAATCAGCAGAGGAAGGCGGGGGGGCACATCTCCTCCTCCTCCTTTAGCTGGAGAGAGCAACAGACAGGAGAAAAGCAGGATTCTCCCCCTCTCCAGCTGGCGTCACACCTCATTAGGGAAAAGCCTGTTTAACGTCTTTCCCTCCCCCCTAGCCCGGGACTAAATCCCCCCTGAGTCAGGCAAGGGCTGTCGGGAAGAGGCGGCCGCCGGGGCAAGGGTGACCACCTCGCCAGCAAGGGTGACCACCTCGCCCAGGAGGAGCGCTGGCCCAAAGCAGGGTTAGCCAGGGCAGGTGAGAGGGCACCAACGCATCCCTCCCTGCTCCCTGGGAAAATGGCTGAGCTGGGAGAGAGGCCTGCTGCCCCACGCCAGGCACTCTGGCAGGTATGGTTAACCCCCACCATTGCATTGCTGGCTAAGGGTTGAGTCCAAAACGAATGCTGCTCCCCTAAAGCTGCTCCCCTAAAGTTGCTGTGAGCAAGTATTAAACCCCAATATCACCTGTGTTTTGTTGTAATTACTGCTTCAGACTGTGTGCTGTGGTCTCTGGACACGTAGTGACCTGAGCCCCACGCTGCCCCTTTTTGGTATCTGCCCAGACTTCTGAGAGGAAAGATGATCAGTTTTTCTCAGGGAAAAGTTAACGAATGAGTCCACAAACGTGACAGCAGTGACACCACTGTCACCAACACCAGTGCAGAGGTGATGGTGGGGCTGCTGCATGCGTTGCCTTTTTGAAGTATGGAAAGCAGCTGGTCGGACTCCAGCTCCTCACAAACTGTCTGCTTGGAGGGTGGTATCACAAAGTTTGGGGCCCTTGTTTCAGAAGACGAGCTCCTCCAAAGCTGCAGGGAAGCCAAGCATGTGTGAGAGCCCAGCGCAAGCAGGCTGGGTGCTGAGGTACAAGACAGCAGTTTAAAAGCTCTCTCTGTGCTGAAGCTGAATCATCTATAACCGAATCTGATGGACGTAACCAGTTTAAGCACAGCTAAGCCATGTCCAAGTTAGCCATCAGTTTAAAAATCCCAATCCCTTCAGCTCTATTTCTACACTGCTGCCATTATCAGCTTTCCATTGCAATGCTCCCAAGTGACTCAACAGGCTTTTGCAGAGGCTTTAGGAGATCACTGAAAGCTACCAGTGGGCTGTGCTGAGCCAGTCCTAGCCCGCACACTGAAATTTCAACGCTGTCACTAAATCGAGTCAGGATGTTCTTTTCCCCTCACAGATAATTAATGACAACAGGTACCTGGGTGAGAGTTAAGCTAATTCATGCAAAGAGTACAGTTACTGGGACTGGACAGGAAGATGGGCAGTCAACCACAGGTTTAAAATGCTTCCAACGAGCATCATTTACCCCTGTGTTACCTGAAGAAGGTGTGTGTGCTTTACACCTCCTGCTAGGAGTTCCTGCTGTCCTCCCCATTGAAGAGCAACTCCTCCCCCAGCTGGACACAGGGACCTGGGGAGGCACCACTGCTCCCCACATGTCCTGGAGAGGAAAGTGCAGCACTCTCCTTTTGGCTGCAGAGCACACTCAGCCGATTCACCCCAAGCAGCAGCAGAAGGGCAATGCAATGAATAGCAGGACACAGTCCTGGAGCTGAGCTGACAGGATCCAGCTACACCACCAGCCAGCTGCTCTGCGAACCCCCAAAACTCAAGACTGTTGGTGGCTCAGCCCCTAGGATGTACCCAACACGCCTCAAAAGGCCATGCCTCCACTCCAGCAGCTGGAGTGCTTTCTGCAGCCCAGTGCCATGCTCTCACTGCTTGTGA